AGGTCGGTATAACGATGTCACTCGGGGGATGGATTTTTCACACCCCTGAGTTATACCGATATAGGTCTGTAGTGTAGACCAGACCTCTGTGTGCCCTACCCAATCTCAACCCTGCTCTGTGGATGGCATCATTAGAGGTTTATCTCCCCTTTAAAGGCATTTCCAATAAACCCCGGAGAGCAAAATCATCATCACTTTAGATTTTAAAACTATTGATGTAAAAAAGGGCAATTTTATTACTTTTATGAAATGTTTTTCATTATTTGCATAATTGTTAAATGCTAATAAGACAATTAGCAATTATTATAGCTTAATAATGAGCCAGCAATAACTGGCCTATTGTATTTTAATGAAACTCTTAATTGTTGCTGGGGGTCCCGAGGTTCTTTTGTCCAATCTCTTTTTCCATTAGAGACGCTGTTCACATGACCAAGGCGAGGATAAAGGGGAGACGAGAGCGGCTACTGTGCCGAGGCAGAAGGGAGTTCTTATAAAAAGGGAGCAAATGAAACCTTTGGACTTAGCTGCTTTAGGATCAACTTAACTCTTTCCCATCCCCTAAAATCCATCTTCCTGTTTTCACTTTCAAAGGGCGTCATCCTAGGAAAATGTTGCTGTCAGGTGACGCAGGTGGAAAATATGTTAAGGAGGGACTTGGGCTGGTTCATGTGCCCAATACTGGCAAAAGTATTTACAGTGGTAGCCCACAGTGAATAGATGTGATTCACTGTGCCAGCCAAGCTGCCTTGAGCTTTGATATCATCACACTAGGCTATGGCAGGCGGTGAACAGACCCGTGGGAATAGTTCTCTCTCTATATATATATATGGGGCAGATAGGAAATGAAAGAGAGGGGTCTCTCATCCCCTTTCCATGCACACAAGTCTCTTTTTTTCTTCCTTAGGGTTAGAATGAAAATGTTGGTGCCTTTAAACATGAAATCCCAGGTTGCTGGCGGTTACCAGTACCAGGTTCCGAGAGCAGCCTTTACTTTCCACTTCATCACATCACATCTGTAGCCTGTATCACTGATAGCACTGTGTTCTAGTTCCCCTATCAGAACGTATGCTTCAGAGACAGCTGCGCTCTGAATCACAAAGACACAGACACAGCTCATGAGTTAGTCATTCCGCATCCACGGTTCCCCTACAGCTCATTATCTGGAGCCCCTCCTAGGCTAAAGTCCACTTGCTTGTGCAGCAACAAGTTTTGGAAACTAGTCCCCTAAGCTGCCAATCCTAGGCTAAAGTCCACTTGCTGTGAAGAGACAAACCCCAAATACACACCTCAGAGAGTGAGCACAAGAGACACCCCTTGCCAGATACACATGTGAAGAGAGATGCACAAACATCACACGCAAGAGTCACCCCAACATACACAATGCTGAGAATGACACAGCACGCAACACGTATACTCTACAAAATATACAATATCAGTATTGCCAACCCCAAGGGTTAAAAAACAGAGTCAAGTCCCCCCTCCCAAAAAAGAGAGAATTTTTAAATAAATAAATAAATAAATTTGAGGTTTGTTGTGCTTATCTCTTGGTGTTTGAGCCTTTCGGGGTCGTGTTTTCAAGCTTTTCTCCACAGGCTAGACACTTAATTTTTAAAAAAGGAAAAGCTGAGAATCTCATGTAATAACATGACTCCAGGAGATGGGGCTTTAAGAAAAGTATCAAGTATCACACAACTTGCAATCAAATCACAGGAGCTGGCAACACTTCTCATGTAATCCCATGAGCCTAGGAGCTGGAGCTTTAGGAAAAACAGCAAATATCATGAGATTTGCAATAAAATCATGAGAGTTGGCAACACTACAAAATGTAACACACACACCCAGTAGTATATACTCTTCTCCTGTGCCTATAGAGCTTTCTATGGAACAAGCTTGTATGGGAAAGAGAATGACTCCGAGCACAGCTTTCAAAGGAGCCTCAGCCCAGTCTCTACTTTTGCACATCATCACCAAAGTGAACATTTTGGTTGTGTATTCGCTCTCACACACACAATCAGCAGAATTTCCATTTGTAAAACCCATCTGCGCCGGATGAGTATGCACAAGTGGGATTTGCCTGCCCTTGCCCTCACACATGCAAGTGACTGCCTGGGCACAAAGGGAGGTCAGAATTTGAATATTTGGCCAATGGACAACTAATCAGACGGAAACACCCTTCAAACGGTCGGTCCAGAGACAATGGAGCCGATGGGATCTCCCCTGCATTTTACAGCAGCAAACGTAGCTGGCCTGAGTGCGAAGAAGCAAATACACCAGAACAGCCACATTGTAGCACTGGGGCAGGAAGAGATGGGGGAAAGAGAGATAGGAGATGAAAGAAAAGGACTGAAGCTGAAGCAGTGGTTCCTATTATTTATTAGCTGTATGGAGATAGTGCCCCCCACTCCCGGACCCCACTGTGCTAGGCACTGTACAAACACACAACCAAGAGACAGTCCCCGCCCGGCCGATTGTCCAACAGCAGCCTTTGGACTGGGAATCTAAGCACTGGGAAGAGATTCATACAGGCCGGGCCATAATAGCAGTAAAACCTGGTGTGGATCTTTTCCCCAGCACACAGATTTCCCCCATGCTTTCAGGCCCTGAAAGGAGAAGCTTGCTCATATGCTTACATGTGTGTGCCTGCCTGCAAACATACGAGTACATGCATGCTGACAGACACTCCCCTATACATGCACACACAGGCATTTACATGTGCACAGATAATGAGCTCGGTTATCTTTCAGCCACCTGGCTCTTGGACTGCAGGCACTGAATGCCACTCATATACAGCATGTGTATCCTGCAACTAGTGTTACTGGCTGCTCTGTTGTCATTGCTCAGCTCACAACTTTCCTTTCTCCCACCAACTCTGCCTTTGGAAAAGCATTTCTTCACTTCTGCGCGCTGGGCAACTTGAGACGGGAACACATGATTCTTAGCCCACGTCTGACTCATATTCCTGGCTTAGTGTCTTTGCTCTCTGATCAGTGGGGGACAGAGAGGGAGTTTCCACAATACACCCTGTGACTCTAGAACAGTTCTATGAACTAGTTTCTTTTCTAGGACTTATCTGATCGTCATCCAACAGGAAGAAAAAGCAAATCACTTTAAATGCAGCAGTATCTCTAATAATCCAATACTTCTGCTCCGCATCTGACACCAGAAAGCTGGTGGTAGAGGGAAGAGTGCCAGCTCATTGAGTCTGGTTGAGCATGCATTGTGCTTCCTCTTTCATCTTACTTTACTTCCTCTGCCCCTTTCCATTCATCACAGGATCGTGAGTATTAGAGATGCAAAGGCTTCTAGGGGGTGGAACGGTCACAGCCAACGCAGAATTGGCCCTCACAGTACAGTCTGTCTCCTCTGTCTGTGGCTACGTGGAGCATTTTGACCAGACTGATGGGAAAGAATTGATGGGAACAAAGGGGCTCACCTTCCCCCCACCCGCTAGCCCTATGCTAGGACCAATGACATTGGCTCAGCCAGACCGCAGAGAAGTTAGACTTTTGTTTCCCTTCCTCACCCTCAGAAGATGCTTCAGATACTCCCCCCAAGCCTTTGCAGACAGTGGGCTGATTGGGTTTGACCCAGCACCTCACAGGGTTTGACTAGAAACAAATGTCCAGCCGCTGGTGAATTTAGGAATCGTGGCCTCCTCCAGCGCACACAGCCCAGGCACCTTCTAAGGAGCTGTAACACCTGCAGAACCTCAAGGCCCTCTAGTGGTCATGGGAGGTATAGAGTGGAGGGAATAGCCAGGAAGCCACAAAGCACGGAGTTGAACAATGGAGAAGGATCCCTAGCTCTAGGGTGACCAGATAGCAAGTGTGAAAAATCGGGACACCTTTTTTCAGGGGGAGGTATGGTTGCGTATACAAGACAAAGCCCCTAATAATGGGACAGGCCTGATAATATGAGGATATCTGGTTACCCTCCCTGGCTCTGGATAGCGGGTGAGAACTCCCCACAGTCCCAAAAGCCATGCTATAGTGTGAAGATCAGGAGTCTGCCTGCTTCATACTTCTGCACTGTCACACAGCTCAGGGGCCCAGTTCTACTGCCTAGGGGCTCCAAGGCCCCAGCTAAGCCAATCATCCAGGATTGCCCTGGAGTCCCCTGGAATTAATCTTTAATTAAAGATTATGTCATGTGATGAAACCTCCAAGAATACGTCCAATCAAAATTGGCAACCATCCCAAACACAGGCTCATTGGACCAGAGCCTATGACAAAAATAGCCTGATTTGAAGAAGACAACCCAGAGTAGAGCGGCGACATCCCCCTGCTAAGGACGCGGTCATGCATGTGTTCTAGTGAAGGGATCCTGAGAAATAAGCCTGGAGCCGGCGATGGGTCTGTCCCTGCTCAAATATGGAAGGATTTTAACCAGGGTATCTTAGACCCAAAGTCTCTGACAGGCTGTTGTCCTCGTTGAGTGCAGGTGCTTGGAAGTGTAATGCAGATGCCAATCAGAGAAAAGGAATTCAGGCAACAGCTACTAAACAGGGAGGCACCAAGGGTGCTCAGAGATGGACAAGGCTGGACAACAGCCTTCAGTGGGCTTGGGAAGCCCCTATAATGCCTCTGATGTTCCCTGCTCCATTCACGGTGACTATAGCTCCCTGAAGAAATGGTTACAGTCTTTGTTTGGGAGCGAAGGTCCAAGGCCCAGAGGCTGGAGAGGTACGGGAACGGGGGACTGATGTCAGGATCAGTTTCAGGCACTATCTGTGTGTGCCCAGAGCCCTGCTGGGTCTGGTTCTGAGTCAGGCTGCTCCTGAACTGCAGGGGGGTGGGGAGGAGGTCAATTTCAGCCTCATGCTCTTGTGCCTTGACCCACAAGCTGGGGGTCCTGTAGGACTAAATTTCCTCTGGCCTTGGTCCCCCCGGTGGCCTCAGCTCCCCTATACAGGGGAGGTCCAGGAGGAGACTGTCCTTTGGGGCCAGTGCTTGACCAGTGTTCCGGGTCTCCTTCCAGTGTTCCAACTCTAGAGCTCTTACTTGAACCTTCGATTTCCTGGGGGGCTTGGGGCTTCTTGTGTCCTGAGGCAGACGAGTCCCTAGTGAGGGCTCGGTCCAGAGCTCGACCCTGCAGTTTCAGTTGTCTCCTCAGCTTCGCTCTGCGGTTCTGGAACCAAACCTAGGGAAACCCAAAGGAAAACAGGCATTAACAAACCATCCTTTTGCCTGCCTGCACTCTCACGTGCTGCTGGCAAACTGGAAAGCATGGGGGTTTATAAAGCATCTGTCTCCCCAGGCTCCTCTGGGGGAGCTGTAGCTCCAGGAATCCAGAAAGATGGTTACACAAGTGGAAGTTTTAAACCACAATAGACATTTCAGGTCATGTCACGTAATGGGGAAAAATCTCATTGCAGAAGGAAGGAAGTCAGTCTCTCTCACTCTCACTCTCACTCTCACACACACACACACACACCCAGTTCTAGAGGGAGAATCCTAATCTCCTTTATACCCTCCACCGGGGAACCGGACTCTTTCACATGGGCTCCCAGCACACCACTCCCTCCCTCGTGAGCTGGGGCTGCAGAGAAACCGGGGGACAAGAGCAGCTCTCTCACTCTGAGCCTGACAATGGGTCTCAAGCCTCATGTCCCCACCCCAGACCCACCAGAAATGGGAGGGATCCACCACTCTTGTTCTCCGGAGACCTGGCAAACAGCAGCCCAGCTCAGAGCGGGGCAGCTGTCAAAGGTGTCAGAGGTGAGGAGAGGGGAAAAACAGGATAGAGAGTGGGGGCCATGCTGGGTAGATCCCACAAACTCACACTTGCCCCACCATGCAGCTGGGCGACCTCCCCACTTCAGCCATTTCCCAACCCTGAGAGGAGGCTGATCCTTACTCCAGCTCTCCCCCATGACCTGTGGCTGCAGAGTTACTGCCTCCAGAGCCAACAGGCAGGCAGAGCTGAGCCCACCATCTAAAGGTTCCCTCCCGCCTCTTACCTTCCCCAGCCCGAGGCGGGTTCCTCGGGCACCAGTGCCAATGGGGCTGAAACATTGACAGGGCTGGGAATAAGCACAGCGAAGATCAGAGCAAACAGGAGGTGACAGAGCCTCCTGCAGCAGTGTGCTAGCCCCCTGGACAGCAGCCTCAGAGGCTGGGTACAATAAGCTGCCCTCCCGGCCAGGGGGTCAGGGAGAGGAGTTCATTGTAAGCTCTGCAGACCAGGGGAAGGTGCTATTGCCAAACACTAGCCTGAGCGTCCGGTACCTGAACCCTGGCCTCTATCAGGTCTAGCCGGAGGGCTAGGGCCTCCCTCATGAAGACGTCAGGGTAGCGCGTGGTCTCAAAGGCTGATTCCAGCTCCTCCAGCTGCCAGCTGCTGTAATTGGCTCGGGCTCGTCTCTGCTTCTGCGGGCGAGCTTCCTCTGGAGAAAAGCCACAGTGACCCCAAATGAGCTTGTACCACTCACCAGACCAGCTTAGGGGCACAAAGAGTGGGCAGCACACTCCACTGGGCACTGTCCACCCCTCCCTTCACCACCAGCCCCATGCCCTCCCATGCACAGCCTGTCCCCTTACCAGGGCCTTTGTCTCTCATCATCGAGACCGAGACCTTTCAGTCAACCACATGAGGAGAGGAGATCCCTCAAGAGACTTGCTGTTCATTTTATTTTAAGTCTAAAAAGCCTTCACTCTTCAGTATCTAGATTTCATTCGGCTGATTTCGTCTGGGCCATTTCATGGTAGTGTCTGAGTGCTTCACGATCTCGAACGCATTTAGGATGGGATGGGTGGCATTGAGGTTATCCTCGGTTTAGCGGTAGTGCCCCGGAACCCCAGCCAGGGACCAAGACCCCACCGTCCTAAGGGCTGCACAAACACAGAACAAAAAGATGGCCTGCTTGCACTTGGGCGGGTGTCACAGGGTAGCTGGTTCCCATGGATACACTGAACCCAGTTCCCCTGGCCAGAACAGATGCGCCCAATCCAGCCAATTAAAGAGGCTAAACTACGCCTGGGCCTATCAAGGGCTGCTAGTGGTAGCTGGGGCAGATGGACCGAGACAGGCTGCGCCTTGGGGAAGGAAATCCACACCAGAGTGGAGCTAACTCCTGTGGTGGGTCCCCAGAGCCAGGGGCTCATGGAAGCAGCCCTGGGGCTGTTGCTCCAGCAAAACTGACTGAGACTGGGAAACTGCCAGGAGCAAGACAGCCTGAGGCTAAAATGAGTTAAAAGGCTGTTTTCTGGTTGTTCGCTAACCTCTGTTAAGGAAATAACCCCCCTTGAAAAGCCTGGGCATGGCAGCGTGTGCTCTGGGGCTGGGCAGAAGGGCTGGCCCAGGGACAGATGGGCACCTAACACCACCAGTGAGCACAGAAGGTTGCTGGGGCCGGTCACATCTTCACCCCATCCCGCTCCATCATGTGCTTTGCATACGATACATAGTGAAGAAATCTTTTAAGACAGGGTGGGGTTTATTAGGACTATTTTTTGTATCCTTCCACTTGCCACAGTACCCAGGGTCGAGCTGGGTAAGGTCTAGAGGGAGGGGATAACAAACCAATACATTTTAGAAGTCTCTAAACTGAACCCTTCTCCTACACAATCGCATCACAATGATTTTAAATTCTGGTATCTCGGGACCTTCCAGGGGCTCAAAGCAAGGACTGTGCGTCCTGCTGGAAACTGGGTAATTTACCCCTATCCCCTGGGGTCCCTTTGTCTAGCTTACCTGAGAAGTCCCCCAGCTCCCCCAAACCTGCGCCTTGGCTCGCCAGCAGCAATGCTTGTTTGCAGGGCTCCGGAGGGCTGCAGGGCTGGAAGAGCTGGTAGCTGAAAAGGGGAGCTGGGAGGAAGAGGCTGCAGACAGGAGCGGATGCGAGCTGGGCCGAGAAAGCAGGGCTGTAGAAGTGAGATGCAGCCGGAAGCGAGGACAGCATGTATTCTGAGCCGAACATCCTCCACTAGGGACACGAGCAGAGCTGCTGCACCTGGGTGGAAAGGAGACAGGTGGAGGATTCCTGACCTTCTGGCCCACGAGAATCCCACTCATCCAGCAGCGGGGAAGGGAAATGTGAAAGAGCTGCAGTCCAGATTAACCAGGGAGACACTGTTCCAGTAGCCAGATGCTGCAGAGAAAGGAGTGAGAAGCCCCAAACAAAGACACTCTGGAATGACATTCCCCATGGGCAAGTATCTCCCTGACCTCCGTCAGCTAGAGGTGGGTCGTGCTCTGAAGCAGGAGGGGGGGGAGGGTTGTCTTTTGTTGGGGGGGGTTGGATAATGGGGAGAGCTGGCTTAGAAGCCTGAAGACCACAGGCTTTCTTGCTCCTGAAGGAGACTTCAGAGCCTGCTGTCTGATTTCCCACTCCCCCAAGCAAGAGCACCAGCCACCTTCAGCAGGGCCGGCGGGCTGAGCAGGATTACAGCACCCAGGACTCGAATGAAGGATTGAGATTGCAGCATATGGCTCATACTGACGTCCTGGTGAGCTGGCTGGCTCTGCTGGGGAAGCCCTAGCTGGCTCTTGATAGTTGGGACAACCAGACTTCAAAGGCTGATGGTCAGATGCAGCCACAATGATCCAGACCTGGCTCACCTGAAACTCCTGTGGAGGAAGCGTAATCCCGTTCAGCTCACGGCTGCCAGAGAATCATGGCTGCACTACACCCTGCTTGTTTGTCGGCTCGGAGGAGACGTCAAAATAGACTCATGATACTGCAGTATTCAGGGCCCAGCCAAAGCCAGTACACATGGAATATTAAAGCGGAAGAGAGATCTCTTCAACCTCAGAGCACTTCTGGGGTCAATTCAAGATTTCTAGCAGGGAGAGACAGACAGGCCGGTTCTCTCTCCAAACCACCTTGCCCATCCCTAAAGAAAACCATGCCAATTTTTGTTTGTTACTTACATAGCTCCTACAGTGGGCTAGGTGACTACAAATAGTCACTCAACAGTTTACACTGTGACCACAAAGGAGCCCAAACTCCACCCTCCAGCAACCTCAAAGACATGGAATTCAGGGAGGATAAGTTACCAGCTGAGATGATGGAGGGGGGAAGAGAAAGAGACAAATGAGTTCGTCTGCACAGACGGGGAAAGGAAATGCCCCTCCCCAAAGCTAATTTCACCCCTTCACTCCTCAGCATTAAGAGTACATTGATAGTCCTGAACATTTACTATGTTGAGGAGAGTCAAGTCCCACTTCAGAACCAATAGGTTTCCTTCTCCCCTTAGCACTGCACAGAACAACCCCTTTTTAAGAGGCTACGTCAGCCCCAAAGGAGGGAACAACCATTAGGAACATGGCAATCTTGACACAATTTGTACCAGACTCTGCTCCAGACGGGTCCGAAGTCACAGAAGCTGTAGAGGAAGATGCATTTCAATGGGCAGAACATTGTGAACACTGGGAATGCTCCCTCTCCCCCCCACCCCAGCATCACCCCCATTCTCGGAGCACCTTTTCCCCACTGAAATCCTTCCCATCTTACCTGCACGGAGTGATTCAGAGATCTGCAGAGATGGCTGAGTCTTGGACAGGTGAGTTCAAGTGTACTGGAGGATTTGAGCGGTCTCTGTTAATCCAGGTATGTCCAGGAACAAAGTGGAGACTGGTCCTCGCACTGCCCTCTTTCCCGCACCAAAAACTAATGTGAGATTCCAACTAAATTACTGTGGTGGTCGGGGAGGGGTCTCTGCTGACCCAGACGCGTCCAGTGAAACCTAGAGCTGGTCTGGACTTTCCCAGGTGCGTCCATGTAGGAGGCGAACTACAGACAGAGACTCTGATCACCCACTTGTCTCCAGCAGATGTGAAATAAAGAAACTTCTTACCTGAAGCCTCTATTCCAAGGCCCTCCTTTCCCCTCCCCCATTCAGACACTAAATTAACTTCTTCACTTCAAAGAAACTCTTCAATCAATTAGAGGGGAGCGTGAGCCGGGATTGAATTTCCAAGTAAATATTCCCACTAATGGCTCCCTAGCAGTGACCCAGAAAAGCTGTCTCACCTGCAAAAGGAGTTCACAGAGCTCTCTCTAAACAGGAGACAGGAAGAACTGCCACCAAGATTCCAGCTGAGCCAAATGAGACATCTGAAGCTACCTCCACTTTACATGGTATCATGTTCACTATGGAGGGAGAGCCCCAAGCTTTCCAGTCAAGAACAGATTCTCCTGCTGCTCTCCTGTCTCCATCGCTGTCCCTCCTTTTGCACAGATTACTCTAAATTTCTCTGTTGGGAACATGGAGCAAGGGAATGAAATCCCACAAAGCCAGGATATTCTGCCTTCCAGAATTACCCCATGCCTAAAATTACTGGGCATTTCTCCTACTGTTTATTTCCAGTTGGATTTTGCTCAGCTTCTCCAACAGCTACGTTATTAATTTTGCTCTTGTGGATTTGCAGGAAGAATTAAAAAAGCAACTAACAACAGTGTGTCCAACAAGAAAGAACTATTAGTGACTAGAAATGAAGACAAGAGACAGCGGAGACCAGAGCTTATTGGAGCAAGGGGAGAAGAAACTCAGGAGTATGAATAGAGGACCGAGACCATGGTTGGCTAGAGGAACCAGAAGCTGAGAACAGAGGTCACTGGATTACAGAGGCAAAGGCCTGGGAGCAGTTAGAGGCCAGGGCGTGGGTGCAGCTACAGCCCCCGAGGTGTTTGTGACTAGAGATGGGAGACCAAAAAGCAGCAAGCAGTAGAGAATGTGGTTTAGGCTGGCTAGGGCCTAAGACCCAGATGCAGCCCAAGTCTATGGGGCAGACACATCTGGAGACAAAGGAATGGGAATGTGACCAGGAAAACAAAGCCTGTGGAAACACTTCAAAATGCTGGGATGGCTATAGCTAAGGAATACAGTGTCTTGAGCCTGAGGAACTAGGTCTTTGCACCTTAGGGAGCACAGGAGAGCCTTGGGGGCTGTCTGGTATCAATCTTCATGCTGCTATGATGACGTGCCATAGCTACCTGGACTTCTGGGGCTCCCAGCGTTCTAGAGAGGGCTGGGTCTAGGGGCCGGCAGTTCAGGTTTGATTGATTATCATACAAAGAATTGCCCCTTCCTTTTATGGCGAGGGCTGTTCTCAGGGAAAGATGAGGCTCTGCGGTGACTCAGGCTTATCTCTCTCAGCTGGCTCCGCTGAGCTAGAGAGTCTCTCCAGAACTGAACACGGGCCTCAGAGCCAGCAAGCAGCTTGAGAGCCTTTCCCCAGAGAGTCCCCTAGTCACGGGGAAGCACAAGGGTCTGTCTGTCTCCTGTAGCTGTCCCTTTCTGAACTCCCACGCCACCCCACCTTCCTTCAGGGTCCCTTCCTGCCAGCCTCTGAATGTGCTTGGGTCACTTCCCTGGAGCTCAGAGAGTGCCCTCGCACTGGGGCGGAGTTTGAACTGTAACCGCATCCCAAGCGGCACACAGCTGAGAGCAACTAATTCAATTACTTCCATTTACCAAATTGCTGCCTCCCCTCCCCCTCCCCAGCATGGACACCCCACTGCTGACAGACGGATGGCCTTTCTCTGTCTTGCTAACTCCAGGCCACCTCAGAGCAGTACAAGACAGTACCTGCTTAGAGCACCTTCCTCCTCCCCCCATTCCAGTCCAGTTGCCAAGGAACGAATGACAGCCCTCAGCTGACCAAAGGAAGCTGGTCACTTGCCCAACTCTGAGCACAGCTGCAGGGCTTCAAACATGCTAGGTGCTAAACAGCCAGGGAACAATTGATCCACCCCATCCGACTAGAGGAAATGTGTGTGGTGGCCTGAGACGTTGGCACAAGCCAGGTTGTTAATGCAAGAGCTCTTGATTACAGCGATCTCCCCTCCCCATCTCTTGGCCTATTCCCCCGGTTGTTCACCCCACTTAGCTCCCCCACATCTTCCACTGTATTCAGAGCAACATCTGTTTTCCCGGACACCATAGGCACATAGTTGTGCTATCAGCCTCCCAGTAGGTCTAAACAATCCACTTCTGGCCATGGGGTGATTAATGTTGTACTACATACAGGATTGGGGAGGGGAGTGAAGGTTGGATACCATTCCTGGACTAATTAGCCCATAGAATAGTCTCCCAAGGGAAGCATTGGGAGCTTCCTCATCTGGGAGGTTTCCAAGCAGTTAGAGAATGAACTTGGGCATGTTCTGTAGCAAAGGATCCTGCAGCAGCAGGAGGAGGAGGGGCCAGGTGACCTAGTGGATTGTTGCCATTTCCCATGGCTAGAAGGTGGAGAACTTTGAGATTTCACTGATAAAATCAGAACAATGGATGATTTCTTCTTCCCCTCTATGGGCAAATCCCAGAAGCCAGTGCAGCCTGGAGAAGGGAGGAGCTGTAACAGCGCTCCAATGCGGGGAATACATACTATATTCTCTGCAGCCACTAGGTCAGGCCACTGGACTGATTGCAGTTTAGCTCCTTGTTCCCCCTCATGAGCCTTCTCTCTGCTAGGACAGGTGCCTTCTTCAGGCAGGAAGGGATCCCAGCTCTAGCAGAAACAAACCCTGAATGCAGAAGGCAAAGCAAAGGCGAGATAGGTGTGAGAGAACACCAAAGAGCAGAAAGTAACTGCCTCCCAAAGCGGTGTCCCTGAATGACATGGACACAAGTGGGTGGAAGAGACAAGCTTTTGAGCTTTGGTCTCTTCCACCACCAGAAGTTGGGCCAACAGAAGATATAACTTCACCCAGGCTGGTCTCCTCTCATGTCCTGGGACCACCATGGCTACAACCACACTGCAATGGATGTAAGTGCTGAGCATGCACCATACTGCGACACCCTAACTCCACATGGGTGCTTTCAGTCAGCTGAAAGCACAGGGAAGATGCAGAGAAAGCTCTGCTTTGAAGCCAGTAAATCTTTATAGCTTGAGGGATCACACTCCACTCATTGGGCTTTGGAACCGGTTGGAGGGCAGTAACTGGGGCACAGGCTTGTACGAATGCTCAGTCACCAGCACAGTCTGAA